GCAGCACCCTTTGGGAGTAGAGTCTGCTCTTCGCACTTCATTAGAAAAGTCAGACTCTGTCTCCAGCTCTGGCATCACTTGTTTGATCTGAATCCCATGCCTGCCAAGGACCTGTGGAATTCAGAAAGAAGTGGCCCTTGTGGGAGTGTGCAGATTGTAACCTGCACAGGGCACCTCAAGCGGTATAAGATGCTTCATACAGAGACACTTGATGAATCTGTACCCCAAGAAGTTCTGTGATAGGGAGAGGGATAGGCCAGGCAGGCAATGCTCCCCTACCCCAGGACCATACAGAGCAGCCTCACCTATCTATCTTTTCCAAATGTTTCCAAGAAAGATCTTATTTGGGAAAAAGATCCATGGCTAAAAATAAAACTAAAAATCTGCTGTTCTAGATAAAGCCAAAGAGTGGGTGGGAAGAAACTTCTATCTACTAAGCACTTGCTGTGTACTGATGGGGTAAGTTTTAAGCATCATAAAATAATTGCATCTAACCTCTGCCCCCTGCCATCTGTATCAGATAGAGCCATCCCATTTGAGAGGACACAAAACTGAGGTTCAGAGAAGGGAGTCCTCAAAGCCAGCAGAGTCAAGAGTCCTGTCATGATTCCAGGGCTATAACCTACAAACTATCCATCTCTAGAAGTCCGTCACTCCCCAGCCAGCATTCTCTCCTGCCTCTCTCTCTCCTTCCTCATCCTATTTTAAGTCTTCCCTCAGTCATTAGCAGTTACAGATCAATTAGCTCATTACTACTCAGAGTCAACAAACCTTTGTTGACTCAATGATTTTCCTTTATTAGAGAGTCACTTGTTGAGCATCAAGTCAGTCCCTAGTTCTGGACACATTTCTAGAACACATGTCAAGTCATGGCCTCTAACAGCAAGGGTCTCATTGACTGCTGGGGAAAAATACAGAAACCAGTAAAAGGGAACCTTAAAAATGGTACTGTCTATACCAGGAACAACGTGGGGCCAGGTACGGGGGAAAGAGTAGGGGACAGGCACTGTCTACTGTTAGTTTTATGATATCTAATGTTGATAAGTTTTTTGAGCACCCTGGGATAAATCCTATTGCCTAGAGCATTATTCATGCCTTGGGGAAGAAAAGAGCTCAGTACCAAAGCATACCATCCTTCCACTTCCTGTTTGGTCCCCAGTGGAGACACCACTGTTCCAGGAGGTAAAGTACACTGAAACTCATTGGATTTCTTTATTTCATTATCCCTGAATAATAATTGACTTGAAATACATTTAGCCACTTAAAAAAATCTGGCTCTTAAGAGTAATTCTATGCCTTGCTTCTTAGAGGTCCCTGTCCTAGCTAAGCTAGAGAAAGATATTGTTCTGCTGTGATTTCTTGCTTACTTCAACTCTTCTTGCATTTCTGGTTGAAAAGAAATGTGAGCATTATACTGACCTTGCTCCTATTTTCTAATCCAATAATAACCCACCAACGGTGTCTCTGACAGTGGCCAGACAGGTTCATATTCAAGCAAGAAGACCAATATCCCCCCTTCTTCTGCCTTGTCAATGACCTCAAACCAGTCTTTTCTTCCCAATTTCCCACTTTCCTTAAGCAATCCAGCCTCCACATCCCTCCTCTCCAAAGTGCTCTTGCCTTTCAGAGTATAAGCAATAAAAATAACTGTCCTGATAATAAGCCACCAGTGAGGACAAAATACATAGCACAGAGCAGACATTGGCATAAACAAGCTTATGCGTAAGTGCCACTGGAAAGCAAAATAAAGGGCAATTCACAAAACAGTGTCTGTTTCCAAACGCTGTCAAGGTCCATAAAGAATACAAGCTCTGGAAATTTATTTGTGGGATATTATTTGAATGAAGGAAAAAGTAAAAAAAGACTTCTTTTGGTATGAAAAGAATAGCAGATAGTTGGAGCAGGAATGGAGCATGGCTGAGAAAATTACAGGTCACTAAAAATGATCATTATGAAATCCGAGACATGGCATGAAATACGTTACAGGTATATTAAGTCAAAAATAACATAACTGGGTATACAGTCTGTAAAAGCATCGGTTGGTGTAAAGACAGTGGGATCATGGGCAATGCTTTAAGATGCTGCTAGACGTTACAATATTGTCTTTACTGTGTAAAAGAAATAAAAAGGGAACCAGGAAACGAGTCCCCAGCAGACAACTGTCATCATGTAAAAATGCTCCTTTTCAGGAGCAACCGACAGGTGGTTAAATGTGAATATGGATGTCAGGTCTTATTTGTTTAGTTATTAATGTTGACTACTTCCAAAATTAAAATTAATCTCTGTAATGGTTAGTGTTAACTGCCTTCTTGTAAACAATCTAGAATCCCCGGGAGATGAGCCTTTGGGCATGTCTTGATTATGTTCATTGATGTGGAAAGACCTGTCCACTGTGGGTGGCACCATTCTCCTGCTGGGACCCTGTGCACATGGAGAGGGGGTGCTGAGCGGCAGCATACCTCCATCGATCTTTGCTTCTTGACTGTGGACCGCATATGACCACCTGCTTCAAACTCCTGCCACCTTGACCGTCCTGCCGTGATGGACTGCATCCTTGCACTGTGAGCCAGAATAAACCTTTATTCCTTGAGTTACTTTTGTCAGAGTATTTTCTCACAGCAACAGGAAAAGAAACGACAGCACTGTCTGAGGCGGGAGAGAACGACAGGGAACCTGCAGGGGAAGGAAGGTAACCTTCCACTCCTCTGGAGCCTGGCTGATGCCTGGCCAGCTGACGGTCAAGAATTTCTACACAATTTACAAATGTTACTGTGAAGACACAATATCCCTTTTAGGATGAGATATTTTCAAGTAAGAATGTTGACGTAGCAATCAACCATGCTTAAGGTCAAACAGTATCCAGCCCAACTCCTTTCCAAGATGTGAGCCTGCAATTTTCTGGGAATATCACAAACAAAACCAAACTTGTACTTACAGTAAAGATATCTTAACTTCCTTGCAGTCCTCGTAAACCAGGGTTTCACCTTAGCTATAATCTCAAGACACCCCAGGAACCACCTTATGATCTCATTAAAGTTCCTGAGCCACCCTTGGAAATGGAATCACTTCAGATGCCAGCCAAATCATAGACATGGGCGTTGTAAAGATATCCAAGAGTGACCGTCTCTAACCCTTTCCCTAGCACCTCTTTCTATTAACCTCATGCTTAAACATTTCTATGCTAAAATTTCTTCCCAATGAACTCCATTTCTACTTCATAGTGAGTCCTTGTAATTCTTTTTTGTAGCAAAGCCAAGAATCTTGTCTTTACCAGAGAAGGGGATCTCTAAAAAGAACTCCTCAGGCTGCTGCAGGGAGCAGCATGGAGTTGTGTCTCTGGCCCACACCCCACTGACATGGGCCATTTCCTTAGCAAGCTCTACTCTGATTTTACATGACTGCCAATAGGTAATTAGTACATGGTGAACGGTGCCAAGAAGAGGAACTGAAGACTGAAATAGTATGTGTGAGGGGGAGGGAACTGTGTAAGGGGTCTTAGCAGAGGCAACAACCAGTTCTCTAAGGTTGGAGTTTGGGCCTTTGTACCCTTGGCTTCTCTGTGTAGACAGATGTAGAGGAACTTGAAGACTTCTCATTTAAATTTAGAAAGTGCTAAGATTCTGCTGACCTTGCTGAGACCTGCTGAGCCTCTTCTCTGCACACACAACCCCTCGAGGTTGGAGTCAAACTGCATCTTCATAATTACCCTGAGGTGAGGAAGATGGAGTTTTCATATATATACGATAGAGGGGGAATTGGGGTCACCTCTTAGGATTCTCAGTCTAATTAATAAGAGAATAATGAGCTCAAATGGAAGCTTAAAGACAATTAGAATCCAAAAGAGAAACCCTCAGGACAGGCGAGCAGTGAATCTCAGCAGCTGCCTGAACAAAAGCAATGCCAAATCCAGCATGGAGGGCAGGCACATGGCAGACTAGCATCCACTTTGTGGGGAGGGGAGATTTAGAGAAAGAGTAAAGAAACCCAAAATGTTGGGCAGCCCAGAGTGTTAGGGAAAGCATGCTTGAAAAAGAGACAGAAAGAAGAAAAGGGGAGATTATGCTTTTCTACACTGCGGGGGGTGGGGGGGCAGGGATTCCAGGTAGGAAAAGTTCACCATCTCATCAAAGCCCTAATTATTCCACTTATCTTTTTGGCATGGCTTGAGGTGAACCTGCCTTCCTGAGGTCCCTTGGCCAGATGATTGACCAGCCCAACCGGAATGTTAGGTCTTCACCTAGGCCAGAGATTTTATTCTCTTGACCAGGAGTTACCTCTTAAGAGGCCTGTTTTGCTACTGTAAGGTGTGTGAGCCTCCTGCCTGCAACTCCCCCTTCCCCCAGGTGCTGGGATTACAGGCATGTGCTACCACACCCAGTTTTATGCAATGCTGAGGACTGAACCCAGGGATTCATACATGTTAGGTACACACTCTACCAACTGAGCTACATCACCATCCAAGATGGAGGGCTCTAAGGGGCTCTCACCATCTCTCTTAGGATCACTATCAGGTCATCCTTATTACTGTCACAACCCTGACTCCAAGCTCAGATCTGAGAAATGGTCTCATTCCCAGGCCTCACACTGGGTCATCCCTCACTTGTGCTATGTCACTAAGCCCTTCATTTGGGGACCTGCCAAGGCTACTGTCTACTTCCAGGCTATGTGCTCACTGCTTGTTGAGCATTCCACCTTCAGGCTAAGTTTAACACACATGTCAAAATCCCAATATCTCGTCACAATCCAAGATGGCAGCCACCTGCTGAGGGCTTTTCTAGGACTATACCTTTGTCCACTGACCCCTCCCTTCCTGGTGGACTTGGCTCTGTTCCTACACAGGGTGAGAAACTCTTTCAGTCTTGACCACACTGCAGTTTTCTGCCTGCTAGTTACCCCTTGTCAGGTACCATTCTTCAGTTTCCACATGTCTGACAAACCTTCAAATGCTAGATGGAAGATAGAGCCCAGGAGGCACGAGTCCAGGGTCCAGACTCACTTACAGCCACAGCGAGTTCCTTCCTTGGGTGATGACCCCGGTGAACCTGGTGAGGCGCCGGGCATCCACTTCAATCCACTGATGGAGGTCGTTCCTGCCTGCACACCATGCCCCATCATAAAAGTCGTTTTCGTTAATGCCTGCCTGGAAAGAAAAGAGGGTCCTCTTCAGAAAAGCCCTGGATTGAGGGTGACTAAGACGAATCCTTTCTTGAGACTGAGAGGCAAAAAGAAAGGACAGGAGAAAATGAGGAAGGGGATAAAGAAAAAAAAAATCACTCACTGTGCCATGAACTCCTGATTCTAAACCACACGAGGGAGTCGTTTTGTATTAACAAGTAGGAAATATCTCAATATAACATGTCCCTTCTTGCCCAGTGTCAAAGATGAAATTTAATGAGCTCCCTGCTACTCAATTATCCAACACCGAAACCAGCTCCTACCCACCTGCTATGATGGTTAGTATTGTCAACTTGGCAGGGTCTAGAATCATCTAGGAGACAAACCTCTGGGCATGTCTATGAGAGAGTTTCTAGGCAGGGTTAACTGAGGTGGAAGGATTCCTTTTAACTACAGGTAGCATAGTGTCATGGCTGGGGTCCTGGACTACATGAAAAGGAGAAATGAGTCAAGCACCAGAATTCATCAGGCATTCATCTCTCTGCTTCCTGACGGTGGGCACAATGTGACCAACTGCCTCGGGCTCCTGTTGCCAGACCTTCTCTACCATGATGGACTGACTGTGTCCTCAAACTGTGATCCCCAAATAAACCCGTCCTTGCTCAAGTTGCTTTTGTCAGGTATTTTGTCCCAGTGACAAGAAAAGTAACCAATACAACCACTCACACACACACCAGGTGCTGGGGAATCGAAAATGAATGGTTCTCTCTCAGAACCTCACCATGCATGCAGCAAGAAATATGTGGAAATAGAGAAGAATTAGAGCACAATGAGGCGGGAACTGTTCAGGGACTCTAAGCAAACTGCTGTGGGGGAGTTTGAGGATAGCTCTACTGAGTCGCTGAGATCACGTAGAAAAGCCCCAGAGACAGAGCAGCATCAAGATGGGCCCTGATGATTCAACGTTTACCTAGTGAGTATCTGCCCGAGTGTTTAACTTGTTTGAGGTGTTCACTATCAATCACTAGTATGAACAAAAGTTTTTTGAGATCTGCATTTCCAAAGTAGGTCAGATTTCTGCTCTGAAATTATCCCTACATTCTCATCATTTAAAGAGATGATTCTTTGACCTAAAAAAAAAAAAATGTTAAAAGGACATTTGAACCAAGGGAAGTTTTCCAGTTTGCTAACTCTCCTTCTGCATGAATCCTGGCCCCCACAAGGATGTAGCCAGATGAGAGATAGTACTAATATTAGAACAGTAACTTGGCTCATCCTCTCTGTATCTCTCAGCCTATCTCTCACAGTCCTCTCTGTCTCTCTCATCCCCTGTCTCTCTTATCCTCTCTATATTTCCCATCACCCCCCCCATCTCTGAGCACATTTCAGATCAAATTTTTGGGACAGCCTGGCTTTTAATGGGCAACACAAATGTGGAGTTCAGAGTACAGCAGACAAACAACCTGGCAAAGAATCCCAATAGCAAAGCCCTTCCCATCACCACGTGAGAGAACACAGTCTTGATTCAGAACTGAATCCTGGTCTGTGCATCCCTAGTGATTCCTGAAACCATCCTCAATGACCTTTGAAGTTAAAGGACAGAATTCAGAGATAGCACTTGTCTTCAACAAGCATTGTGGTCTCCAATGAAGATAACTTTCAAAAGCTACTGGTCAATACTCCCCCAGAAAGCAAGCTCTTGATTAACCAGCATGCCAAGGGCCAGATGGCCTCAGAGGTGTCTGGGATAAGCACCTAGGAGTTCTGCAGGTTGTCTCCTAAAATCATCAGAAGTCTGCACTTAGCCACTGTGTAGCTCTGGGTGCTGTTGCAGGTTAATCCTGAAGAAGTCAAGGTGTCTGACACTCAGCATCTCAGTTCTGAGCCCTACCAGGCAACAGGGAGGTCATGATGCCAGCCAGAGGGAGGGCTATAATTATACAACCACTTCCTCTGTGCATTTGAAGGCAATTATACTCCTAATGACAGAGATCTGCAGTACATTAACGACCTACATGTCACAACTCATGCCCTCTCAAGAAACCAGAATGTGCACTTATGTTTTTGTTGTGGTTCCCTATTCTCGTAAAAGCACTGGAGATTGGCATTTAGAACAGTTCCACTCATCGAGTAACATGAACCCTCCTGGAGCCTCTGCAATGCAGCAAGGATGGAAGGCGAAAGCCACATGCAGCCCTGTCTCCAGACGCTCAGAGCAGACTGAAGCCCACATGTGGCATCATGGTAACAGTCACTGCACAGGTGCTGGTAAGGAGTGTGTGCTCTGAGGGTCCACCACAGGCCATGAGTCCCAGCTGACCATTTGTACTCTGTAAAAACTCAGTTGATTTGCATAGATACTCTGTGCCTTGGTTTCCAAGTACCTGTCAATGTGGGGGCAATGATCATTTCTCATCAAGTCTGGGTTCAAAAATGAGTGCTTGGGGCTGAGGAGACGGCTCAGTTGGTAAAGCATGAGGGCCTGAGTTCGATCCCCAGCACCCATGAAAAAGCTGGGCATGGTCACACTTGTCTATAACCATACTGCTGGGTAGTGGGGCAGAGACAGGTGGATCCCCAGAACACAATGGCCAACCAGGCTAGCTGTGGTGGTTTGAATGAGAATGTCCCCCATAGGCTTCAAGTATTTGGACATTTTGTCCGCACTTGGTGGCGCTGTTTTGGGAGGTTTTAGAAGGTATTGTCTTGCTGGAGGAAGCACGTCACTGGGGGTGGGCTTAGAGAGTTCTTGAGCCTTGCTGGATGGCCAATCGAGCTCTGCTTCCTGTGCCTGCATTAAGATGTGAGAGCTTAACTTCTGCTCCTACTCCAGCCATCTCTGCCACCATGCCTCCCCGCCATGATGGATTCTGGCCCCTTTGGAATAGTAAGCTAAATAAACTCTTATGTCTTTAAGTTCCCTTGGTCACGGTGTTTCTATCACAACAGCATAAAAATGACTAACACACTAGCCAACTGGAGAGTGCTGGGTTCAGTGAGAGACCCCATTTCTAAACATAAGATGGACAGTAGCAGAGGGAGCAGTCCATCCAGTCAATCAGTGGCCTCCACACACACCTACATACACATGCAATCACATACATCCACCACACAAACATAGGCACACCAAAAACAAACGTGCTCCATATGTTAGTTATCAGAATATTTAAGGAGGAGAAATTTGATTAATACTGGCAACATGCAGAAATATGGGCAGTTTGTGAATTCTTTCAAGTTTTGCTGGATCCGGGAAATTACATTACTCTTAGAGTTCATTGCTGTCATGTCTCATACAACTTCAAATATCCAGAACAGGGCTACACAAACTTGGAAGAAAAAGGGGTCTGTGATAGCAGGTTCTCAACAGGAGTCCACACTGCGCTTCTGGGGGTCATTTGGCAATGCCATGCAACGTCTGAAGTCATTTGGGGCTGTCACCTCTTAGGGAGGAGCTGAGTGTCCTGGGGGATGTCAATAAAGACCTACAAATGCACAGAACAACTGTTGCACAGAGTACCCCCTGAGTGACACGTCAGAGACTCCTGCCATGGACCCTGGTGTAAGGCATGGTGGACCAGCACTGAGTGGTACTATGGCTCCAAAGTGCACACTGTGGAATCCAGAGGCCAGGCCCGTTGCCTGCTTCTCCCCCAGCATCTGCCAACCAGGGCTTGGAACTTCTTTTAAGGTCCCTGACTTTGCCAGCCTGTAGATGCTGCTTCTGCTGCCCATCTCAGATTTTCTGAGCACAGCAGAAAGCCAATTAAATGGAGCTTGGTGTTGGGGAGAGGAAAGTTCCTACTGGTGGAGATGACTCACTGGGAAATGGTACCCACCTCTGCAAAATCAATTAAGAACTTAAAAACGAGCATCCAAAGTGGTCACCAAATCACGTCACCACGTAATAAATGATGCTGGCAAATATGCCTCTGAGAAATCAGAAAACAAGAACATTCATCGCTATATTTAAGAAGCTGTCTGGGGACTGGGGTTGCGGCGGGGGTGGGAGGGGTAATAGGTAGACGTCTCAGCAGGTAAAGGTGCTTGCCACAAAGCCTGATTACCTGAGTCTGATCCCAGGACCCACAACAGTGGAAGGAGAGAGAACCACCTCCTACCAATAATTGTTCTCTAGCCTCCACATATGTGTTGTGGCACACGCATGCTCCCAGCCCTGCATGCATAAATAAATAAGTATAGTTTAAAAAAGAAGAAAACTGGGGCTGGGATATGGCTTAATGGTTAAGAGCACTGACTGCTTTTGTAGAGAACCTGGGTTCAATTCCCAACACCCACATGGCAGCTAACAGCCATCCATAACTCCAGTTCCAGGGGAATCTACGTCCTTCTTCTGACTTCCTCAGGCATTGCATGACATGGGTACACTTGCATACAGACAGACAATACACTCATACACATAAAAGAAAAATACTTAAAAAAAGAAAACTAAAAAAAAGCCTATTTAATAATAATTTGGAGAAATTTTAGTTAGAAATTGTTGAAACAAAAGATTTGATTCCTTCCAGGATCAGGTAGTATGGGAAACACCATTAACATAGTGTGATTCTTTCGAATTTGACAGCAAATTCTAAAGGCAATCCATTTATACTAGTTGTTTCTTTACCTAAAAAGAAAATCAATGCATCTAAGAGACTCAGTTTTTGAAAGTTAAATGTGGTAACAAGTAAGTCCATGACAAAGAGAACCCAGCAGGATCAGCTTCAGATGAGTCAATTGCAATGTCTGTGACAAGATGTTGGGCTAAACATGATAATTTCCCTTTGTTCTTCCCTCAAAAATCTTCCTGGGAAAGCAATATGCAAAATACTGCTTCAGTCTCTGGCAAAATTCAAAGACATTTCTATTTCCTAGATCGCAATACATGAAGACAGAAACCAGATGGAAACCTGTAGGGTACAGAAATGCAGAGCCCTAGGAGGCTCTCCAGGGAAAATCAAGTCCCACCAGAGCCTAGAGGAGCTGGAGTATCTTAGAAGGTGAGGTGAGGCAAGTGGGTTGAAGAGG